GAATTTTTTTTGCTAATGCACAAAAGGCGGTTTCTTATGTGAAATTTTGAGAAATAAACGTTTTTTTACAAAACTGACGTTGCACCAGATTGGAATTAATTATTGGCTAATTAGATGTAGATCCTCACGTGACAGTGACATTTTTGATGGCGATGCAGTGGTAGTTCTTTACGTTTTCAACGAAGTCGTGTATTCCAGCAACTTTCCTTAACGTTAAAATCATGACCAGCTTTTTAACCTACAAGACTTTTATTGAAGAAGGAGACCTTGTCATTGCGTACATGGTAAGTTTTTTTTTTTCAATTATACCTTTTTATATGGTTCTAAATATATTTCCATTGGGATTCTAGTCTCGCGAGAACATGACACCGCTAGTTATGGATCCTAAATTGACGTACAACAATAAATTTGGTACTTTTCGGCATTCAGATATGATTGGAAAGAAATATGGAACTAAGGTTATTAAGATATATATACGTTTATCTTTACTGAATTAATAGTCATATCTTTCAAACGATAAGACAGGTTTAATTACATTTTATCCAAACTTAGATGCCTTCTCATAATGGCAGAGGATTTATGTACTTGTTGCATCCAACACCGGAATTATGGACGCTTGTTGTTCCACATAGAACACAAATCCTTTATATGGCGGACATTTCTTTTATAACAACATATCTTGATCTAAAACCTGGCTCAATAATATTGGAATCTGGTAATTATTTAAAAGGTTTTATTTGAAAATTTGATTTATTTATTTAATAATCATTTTATATTATAGGAACTGGAAGTGGATCCTTTTCCCATTCCCTAGCTAGAACTATTGCACCAAATGGTCATTTATATACGTTTGAATATCATGAAGAACGTGCAAAAGCTGCAAAGTATTTTAATATCTTAATAATTTCTAAAATTTAGATAAATCATTAAAAAATATATGACTATTTCATTTGTTGGTATTGATATGCAGGATTTTGAAGAACATGAGGCAAATCATTCAAATATATGATTAACTCATTTGTTAATATTGACAGACAAGACTTTGAAAGACATGGTCTCTCTGATATCACCACTATTGAATGCAGAGATGTTTATAAGGATGGGTTTGGAATAACTGATTTGGTACATGCTGGTATGCTTACTATTTTTTATTTTTTATTTTTTGAAAATAGGATTAGTTAACTTATTTATATTACTTAATTATAGTATTTTTGGACTTGCCTGCACCATGGGACGCAATCGCTTCAGCTAAAGATGCTTTTAAGGTACTATTTTTTTTCGATCAATTAAGATGATCTAGTTGATTTGTAATATATATCTATATATATATTTTTTTCGTAGCAAAAACGAATAGGTAAAATTTGTTGTTTTAGTCCATGCATTGAACAAGTACAACGGGCATGTGCTTCGTTGAACAAACATGGGTTTGTCGGTAATTATTTGGAATTATTCTTTATGTTTATATATCTTTACTATTTTGTCATTAAACAAACATTTATCAATATTGATTAACAGAAATTAAAATGTTTGAATGCCTTATTCGTAATCAAGAAGTGCATACAATCCCAATATACACCGTGAAAGATGCTGTGTCCAAAATCAAAGTTCAACAAGACAAAAAACGTAAGCGTAGCGAAGAAGAATCATCTAATTCGAAAGCAGCTAAATCTCCTAAAATTAAACAAGATCCACCAAATTTATATGTATCCAAAACTCCAACTGAAGCAAAAGGTCATACCAGTTATTTGACTTTTGCAACGTTTTTGCCAGTTTTAGACGATGAAGTTGAGATTATTGATAAAGTGAATGAATTAGATTAAGGGCATGTTCCTAAATTGTATAAAAGTATGTAACATGCAACAGGTCGCATACATGTTCATTTTATCCGAGTTAATATAGACAATAAAATTATAAACATAAAAAAAACAGATTTTTATCCTCTTTTTTTTTGATTATACGTTTTTATTTGATGTATATGTTCAAACATATATATAAATAATTCTCAAGTTCAAATTTATTGCTAACAAAAATCTACAAGATCTTTATCGCTCGGGACAAGTTAAACCAAATACATTAGTATCTGATTAAAGAAACACTAAAAAGTGGTAAAAAACAAGTTGGTTTAAAACAAAAAAAAAAGGAAAGAATTGACTTTGTACATTCTAAAAATGGCCCTAATAAGAATATTTATAAATATTCAAAAAAAAGGAAAAAAATTATTTTTTACAAGAAAAAAAAATTTAATCATATCCGGTAAAGAACAAAAAAATCCGTTTATTACTTGATTTGACTAAAAATATGAAAAGAATACCAAACCAAAATTAAAAACTACACTCCATATAACATGCCCAAAGATTATTTTTATTCGAGTTGTCCCAAAAGACCCTAAGAGAAATTAAATATTTTTATTAATAATATATTTAAATAAAATTGCGTTAAAATAATCGATATTATCGTGCATAGAAATTACCATCAAAATATAGGTCGGTTTTTCTTTTTTAAACAATCAAGAATTTTGATCCATTTCGATGTTCTTACTACTGATCATTATGAAACAACAGATCACTTATATTTGGGATCGCCATCGGAGTGATCGGTGGCGATATTCTTGTTGGAGAAAATATATTATCTGATGAAGATCGAGTAAATAAACTAGAAGCGATTCCATTTAGACTATCGTGACTATAATTTCTATAACTGCCAATAACATTTGAATGGCGGCGACCTATTATTCGTGGAGTTGTTTCAGGTAATAAGAAATTTGATTGGGAACCAAAATTTTCAATTGTATGAGATAGGGAACTTGAAGCAATGAACGAGGGAGTCATTGGAGGATTTATTAATTTTTTTGGAGATAATGGGGAGAAATCCATAGAATACAGTGATCGAGTCTTTTCGGATGAACCTAATGAAGAGTTGCTATCCCTTGGCGATAGATGTGAAGGCCTTGAAGAACGCCTTTGACTAGTCGGTGATGGTTCGCTAGATGGAGTTGTAGGTGATACCGTACTTGTGGGAGATAGCGATGACGTCGGTGATAAGGCAATTGGAGAAGTAGGTGTTACAGAAGCTGTGATAACATGAAACCTTCCAGTAACACCTTTTACAGTAGACTGAGTAGTCTGTGCGATAAGTGAACTCTCAGAAATAACAGTAGGAGTCTTTGGAATATTATCGTATACAGAAATAGAGCCAGTAGTGTTCCTTGGAATGCTATTACTACGTTTGTGAGTTTTTAATAAAAGATCACTCTCTATACTAGAACTACGTGAATGTGATCTAGTTTTTGTATTTTCTGATTTAGTCTTGATCGCATTATCAGATAAAGGATTATGAACATCATTGTTTTTTCCTAATTTCAAAGTCTTTTCGAAATCTACCAATTGATATACAAGACTCATATTAGGACATATATAAGGACTCCTATCCTTGACGAACTCGTAAGCTTGATTAAGCGTCATCCGATTTGCATTCATCACATAGCCAATGATCAGAGACGCGGATCTAGAAACACCGCATTGACAATGGACAAGAATATTTCTACCAGTCGATCGAGCCTCATCGATAAAAGCGAAAGCGGAAGCAAAATCCGAAATAAGATTTTCTTGATTATGCGTCCAAAAGAATTTTTTATACTTTAAAGGACCAAAATCATCAGTTGCGGGAACCGTAAGAGGTATACCTGATAAAGAAACATTGCCGAAAATAGATTGAGCAGGTATTGAATTTGAATTTGACCGAGAAGGCATTGAAGAACGTTTAAGAGAACTTGAACGATAAACACCCATTGGGGAGGAAATAACCATTGGAGAATCTAATAAAGGAGTCTGTATAGCAGAATGAAAACTATCATTCGAACAATCCGAGCTAGGAGAATAAGGATAATCCTCAAAATAAGGATTATCAACTTCCTTAGCAACGTTCAAAATGAACTCAATGCCAAGTCTATCAAGCATTGATCTATTCGCAGCATTAATTTCCGATCCAAGATATAAATGTTGCATTATTTGTATTGGTTCATCTTTGTAGGGCAAATCTTCACTGATTGCATTTTCAGTCTTAGATATTAATATCCTAGGATCTACTATAGGACCTTTTGTTTGATAAACGCATATAGGGGTTGATGGACGCCTATTTTGAATAACATTTTGTGGTAATTGAGGTGAACTAGGGGCAGATATAGAGGAACGAACAGGTGGAACCACCACCTGTAAATTTTTCCTATTACGTCCTTTTGCGGAAGGAGGACTTGGTAAAGGACTTAATAAAGGACTCTTTTCACTATAATCAGTCGCAACAAGATTGTTACTATTTGAAATGGACATAAAACCGACGTTATTAGTGGTATCATTGTCTTGCATTGTTGTCGTAATCGATTGTGATAATTTCATATTTAGAGCGGCACCGTCGACAGAAATATTAATGCTATGAGACATTGACATTTTTTTATGTAGAGGTGCCTGAGGAACTTTGAACTGATCAGTTTCTTCCACTAAAGACGTTGGCCTAGAACCGAACGGATATGATCTTTTTACTGCACTGGTCATGTAACCAAAAAAAAAAAAAAAAAAATCAAAAAGCACTTTTTTGTGCAAAGTAATTACAAAAGTTCAAGAATGTCCAGAATTCTTAACCTCTTTTTTTTTTTTTTTTTTTTTTTTAACAACAGCTATTTATATTGACAAAACGGACGCTCCAAAATCCGTTATTTTTTCCTTTTTGTACAAGTTTTGACAATTTAGTGAAAATGGTCGTATTTTATAATATTTTATAATATTTTAGGGGAGCTTTGAACAGGCCAGCTGTTGTAATTTTTTTTTTTTTTTCCTAAAGTTACGAAGGGTAAGATGAGTAACGCCTGCGGGTGTTACTCGCCTGAGCCAAGCAGGTTCAAAAGTGATTGTCCTTCAATCGTGAGGAGAAGAAAAAAAAAAAAAAAAGAAAAAAAAAAAGGGAAAAAAAGAGTGACTATTTAAAATCACACACTAGACCAAGGAAGGGTGTAATTGACCGAGTAGTCGAAAAAGATCTAGCTAGTTGCCCTTAGCTGAAGGGCCAACGGAAATATATATGAAATCTTAAATTGATGATATACCAAAAACCATATAAATATGTATGCGTAATGGTTTAGATGGAAAAGGTGTCGGTATATTTTTAGCAGATACGGTAGTCAGGTGGTTCAGTAATTGAATATCCAAAAGGAAAAAGGGGTTAAGAGGAATGAATGAATGATTTGATATCTTCCTGCTACCTAACAAGTTGCGTGAAGCACAACAGGCCAAAAGTGGTTTATGATAATAAAAAAAAATTCCGACCCTAACTCCAAATCCAAAGCATTAAAAAAAGGAATGGAAGATGGATATAAATTCAGGTATCGGAGAGGGGGAAGAAAGGAAGATAAAAGGGCAGAAAAGCAAGGAAAAAAAAAAAAAAAAAAAAAAAAGAAAAAAAGCTTAGTATAAAAATATATATACATAACAGTGTAAATTAGGTCGGGGTCACAAACGAACACAACAGAAAAGCAAATAATATATTTGATACATTACTCACCTCTAAATATACAATGAATATTTATTATTATAATTTTAATGATAGCATGTATTATTGAGTCTTTCTCTTTTTCGTTTAAATCATGAAATGGAAAAGAAGAAAATCCTTTTAAAAATTATCCTTTAAGGGTTTGATTAATATGTTTCAGAATTTAATAAGAAACCCTTCTAATGCCGGTAGGAATTATAATCTACTACGTACAAGCTTTTTATGCATTAATTTAATTACTGCGAATCATAATTACAAATTGCGGATCCGAACCAAGCGTAGACCCTTATATCAGTTCCCAGGCATCCTTGACCAATCTGAACGCTTTCTATTAATTTTTTATTAATAAGAACTTCATAGCAAGAGAATCATTGCATAAATACATATTATTAAAGGGTTTAGGTATATTTATATCTTGTGTTTCTATAAAAAGATCATGCTGTGACATGCACCATGGTTGATCTAGATTCGCCGTCCTTGTACGTACATGTTCATATTACATTGTTTAATAATTATTATCAGTTTTATGCTGATGATACGTATACCTGCCTTGTTAGAGCCCCATTAGTTCTCTTTCTCAAATGGCATTTCTTTATTTGGCTTAAAATTTCCTTTTGATACAAACAATCAATCGTGCAAATAAGCTATGCACAGCATCTCCAGATTAAGGGAACGTCTAAAGCCGTGTCCAGTCACGTGTTTTTTGTTTTTAATTAATTTAGGGTAAGGGTTAGTTTGGAGTTA